TTGACTACTGTATTGTATAGTGGTTAGTCCGGTACTTCAATCATCTCATGATTACTGAATCATTTCATAGTTATTGAATCATCGTCCTAGAAGAATTTCTGAATCTTAGTTATCATTCCAGTATGTTTTATTTTATCATTATACTATTGTTTCCCACACTCTTGTTAATGTTGCTAATTAATATGTTAATTAACATTTAATTGAATTTTGAAAGATTAATCGTTCAATTTTGATGGCTATCCAACTTCAGATTCATTTTTGATCTAATAAATTTAAAAAAAGAGCTAAAGATATGAGTTCGGAAATGAGTGCAATAGTGCATTTTTGGATTCAATATAAAGTAAAAATTGGAATTCTTCCCCTTTCTCTTTTTCATTCCTACTACTTTTTCATTATTTAACTAAGCATTTGAATTTTTATTTAAAACTAACTAAATGTTTTCTATAGTAAAATTTCATCATGTTTTCTTAACTTTTATTATTTTTTTCCAAAAAAGGAAATTTTCTAACTTAATAATTTCAAACCTTATAATTGTCAACTCAAATTATAGAATTTTCATATATTTCTTTCTATTTTTCTTTTTTTGTCAATTATTAAAAATATTTGCCATGGTAATAGTATTATTGTTTATTTTTACATATTTTCCATATTTGCATAAAATTCATTGAGAGTTGCAGTAAAAAATATGCAAAAAATATGGCTTTCGAATGAGAAAAGGCTATTATTGACAAATGTCGCGGTGACATCCTCATTACTTGGTATATCCGACGGATTACAACAATGGATTAGCGGTGATTACAATTCTGATCAAAACAAATCATTTAACGTTGCAAGGACAAGTTTGTTTAATTTATTTATTTGTGTATGGAATAAAAATACTGAAAAAATAAAAGTATTTTCAATATTTACAAACAACTTTGCTACAACAATAATTATAATAAGGATTATAAAAATAATAATAATAATAATAATAATAATAATAATAATAATAATAATAATAATAATAATAATAATAATAATAGTTAATAATCAGTGATAAATAAAAACAATTAATAATTGCGATGATGATAATAAAAATTAATGATGGTAATAATAATAATAACAATAATGATAATAATGTCAATAATAATAACAATAATAATAATAATAATAATAATAATAATGACTAGTAATATAAGTAATAATAGTTAATAATAATATAAATAATAATAATTAGTAATAACAATAATAATATAAGTAATAATAATAACAGGTAGGCATTACATACGAGGAAACACGTTAAAAAATATTTTGTAGTTAGATGTACATAATAATTAATTATAATTTATAAATCCAAAAAAGACGTCAAAATATTAAGGTCAATTTATTATTATTTGACAATTTTATAATTAATAACTTGTTAAGGACAATTTGCAACAATGGGCCTAGTTATTGGACCGATGTGTCATTTTTGGTACAGATGGTTAGAAAAGACAGTGATACATGGTACAAAAGCAACTATTGTAAGTAAAAAAATTGCATGTGATATTGTCGCATCACCTATTTTTGGATCAATATTTATATCAGGTAAACATTACAGTACTCATTTATACTCTGTAATAAGGCAGCAGTGCAGTTGGCAGAGTAAAACTATATGGATAATAATTTCTGGATGGTATAATAAAGTACAATATTATATTGAACAAAAAGAAAACATTGTTCCTTTTCTAATCATACTTTTGGTTTGGTACAAAAAACAAAAAAAATTAAAGTAAGGAGGATTTCGACAATTTTTACCAATTTTAAATAGTGTAAATGACCAATTTTTATTTCACTATGCATTACATTCAGTTAATTTCTTTTCCATTTTTTTCTTCAAAATATTTTTAAATAACTATTGCAAATCTTCAAATTATTTACGATTTAATCTATTCAATTTGATTTAAGCAACAATAATCATTGTATAAAACCATTTATTAATATTTGAAATTGAAAATTTTATAGGACTTGCACTATTGGAAGGTAATTCGATTGTTGATGCTATCGCTGAATATCGAAGGAAATTCATCCGAATATTTGTGGTATATTATATAAATTTTTGATTTTCGAACGTTTACATTCTCATTAATTTTCAATCAAAATCATTGCATTGATTTGAAAAGAAGAAAAAGAGGAAACAAAGATTAATAAAAGGACCTAAAAGAATTAAAAGAATATGAATAATTAATTTTTTCCTTTCTCTTTTTTCAAATTGAATACATTTTTAATTTAAATTATTTTGTTAAAATTTAATTTAAGTTCAAAATGCTCCTCATTTTAGCTAATATTTACTATACAATAGATTAAATATTAATAATAAATAAATTATCAAAATTTTCTATTGTTAACACATCACTGTTTATTTTTGTTGTATTCCAAGCACCCCTTGATAATATATCAAATTCTATGATAAGAAAAATAAAATATTCATTTATGATAAATTATCTTATCATAATGATTTTAGGTTATTCGCTATTTTTTCCTGCTTTCACAGCACTGATTAAAAGCTTCAATAAAATTTGGTTGCAATTAATGGAATTGATTGACAAATGCAATTCATTTCAGTTAGATATTTGTGCTTGGCCACCTACGCAACTAATCAATTTCTGGTTTCTACCATTGAAATTTCGAGTGATTTATGTGAATTGTGTACAATTATTTTACAATTGTTGCTTGTCATACATTAAGCATAATGAAGCAGGTAGTGTCAAAGATATTAGTTCTACTTAATTAATTTAAAAAATAACTTAATTCTGTTTTATTATTAAAATAATAATTTTAGATTTTTGCTTGCGATTTGATTTATTTTATGTAAAGAAAACAAAAGCATTATGAAAATTATACTTAAAAAACAGGGAATAAACTGGCAAATGTTTTTTTTTTCCTTTAATTAATTTTGACAGAAAAATTTGTATTTCATTTAATATAGTTGAAAAATACTAATTATACCTAATCTTTAAATTGATTGTATTTTTTTTTATATTACTGCATATTTGATGGTACAATTGATTTATGTCAATTTAAAATATAATAATGATATTCAATTAGTATGAGAAATGTATTTAATTTATTATCATAAAGTATACTGATTATGTTTAAGATTTCATAAAATTATTTTTGATTTATGCAAGGGCTATTTGAAGGATAATAATCATCTGCAGATAATTGTAACCATACGAAATTTGATTCGCGTTTCTAAATTCTTTTGTTTCTTCTAATTTAGTTCTTATTTACAAAAAAAAAATTTTTTTTTTATGACAATAAGGAAAGATCAAATTTTTATGCCCAAATTTTTATAACTAAGGAAAAGAGTTAATGTAATCATTTCCCTAAACAATTTTGCAGGTATTAACTAGTTTTATCACATCTTATCGCTATTTCCACCTTTCATAATTAAAAATAATCCAATATAATTAATATAATTAAACTATTTTTCATTTTTTTTCACCCAAATTTATTTATTTGACTTAAATAAATAATAATATAACAATAATATTTAATAATAACATTTGTGTCATTATTAATATTATTATCATTATCACTAATAATGTTACCAATTCGCCCTATGAATGTCCAATGATATATGATATTGAAATTTCAATTTTTTTGTGTGTGTTATTAAATATGGTATTTGTTAATAAGCACATTTAACAGCAATTGATATTTGATTAAAATTCAAATGTCAGCAGTTATGTGCTGTTGAAAACGGAAAGAAAAGAAAAATTTTGTGCATAAAAAAATTGAATATAAATATTATTACACGTCCGAATTTAGCAAACTTTGAATGTTGCAAGCTACTCGTCAGTGTAACATAATTAAATCAACCATTCCTTATGTCACACTGATAGAAAATATGTTTACAAACTATTTACAAATTTTTAGTTTTCTTGAAAATATAATTTTCGAAAGAAAACGATGCAAAATTGGAAAAACTTACCTAGTAATAAAAAAGCTCTCAAACAATATTTTAAGATTTTTTACCAGCAATCGAATTCAAATTTATTCCGGTATGGTCCAATTTATCCGTAGAAAGCTTCATTTCATTGATGTACATTGATCGATCACTGTACATTTTGATAATATCACGTTAATTTTAAATTATCAGATTAGTGGAATCGTTTTGAATCATCACAATTCAAATATGTCAAAATGATTATCTGCTGGTGGTGACAGGTGACACTATCAATCAATAGATATACTACGTTACCCGCATAATTTCTATCAGTCTATTCGTCATTAATATTTCATCCGTTAATATGCAAAACCGGTAATGATGTAAATACAGTATCATCGATAATTATTATTACTACATCCGATAATTATCGAGCACTGAACATTAATCCCGGATATTTTCGCACCTAGTAACTCCTTCTTTTTCACCATTTCGAATAAAACTTTAAATTGATTCCTACCGGAGTAGTAAGCAGTAGCTATAATCGAAATTGATCTTTTTTTTATTAATTTTAGCCATTTCAGCACTGCTAGAAAAAAGATATATACTTTTTAGCACAACTTTTTTTAGCACTTTCTGTGTATGACTTGCGCGTAATTTGTAAAAATTTAACGTTTTAATTCTCAAGATTTTAGTATATTTGCTTTTATTCAAAGTGAAAAATTATTTTTTCACAAACATAAGAATTAAATTTTACTTTCAATTATGTTTACTGTATGAATTTTTGTGCTTTCAAATATTAATGAAAAATTAATTATTCCTTTTTTAAAATGCTGTGTCTCATTACAGTTAATTCCTTCAAACTTATTCAAAAAATTTTCAGGCCTTTTTAACTAACTGAAGAAATTTTTTTTTTGAAAATTTTGGAAAATTACTGAAAGAAATTTTGAAAATTTTGGAAAATTTTTTGCAAATATAATTTGCATCCTATTCAATGATAGGTGCTAAATCTTAATTATTTTTTCAGCTTTTATTGATAGCCAATATTATTGGTATTTTAATTTTTCAGGAAAAAACTGGATTGATAGGAATGAACGATGATAAATTGATTATCATTATACCAGACGTTATATTTAATTTATCCAAACATATCGATAACCGGTGAGTTTTTTCAATTTTTTTTGATTTTCTGATGTAATTTTTTTTTTGAGCTTAATTTTTTTTTCTTTTAAGTAATAAAAAAATTGTAAATTTTAGAAGTTTGGAGTTTAAATACCGAAACGAGACTAAAATTCTAATTAATCTAATTGCTTTGTTATTTTATCTCACATCGATATTATTAAATTGCTATTTATTATGTTTGAACATCAAGTGCGTGGATTATCGTAGATATAAAAGGTATGAATGAGTGTATTGTTATTTGATAATACCAAATTTTTTGATAAATAAAGCGGAAGAAAAACGATAATTATTTTCTTTTTATTATTTTCTGTATATTCGGCGTTTTTTTCCTTTTTAACTATTTATAAGTAATTAATTTGATATCATTTCTCTAATATCATGATAACAAATTTTATCAATTAGATTATTTTCGGATGTTTAACAACTATTAATTGAATTAAGTTTTGCAAATTGAATTTTCAATTCTTTCTTAAAATTAATACAGATTACCGCTACTGATTATTAATTTTGCCATCTCTAATATTATTCTTGCAATTGGTTTTCTGTCTTATACATTATTCATCGATATTTATTATCAGACAGAAATTATTGCTAATAGCAATAAGAAAGATTCTGATGGTTTAACAGATACTACTATTTTAAAGGTTTTTATTTCTTTTTTAAAAATTTTTCTCTATATGTATTCTCTGTTTTTTATATAAAGTTAGTTTTAATTACGACTTATATTTCATAGTGAAAAATTTGAATGCTGTCAAATTTTTATCAGATACAAAATATTATCAGATATAAATGCTTAAAATTTATAGTTAGCCAAAAAAACTATTCGACAATTATTAATTTGCTAAAAGAAACAAAAAACGAAAAAAAAAAACTGTCTAATTTTTACAAATTATAGCAAAAACAATTTGATTAGGATTGATCTTATTTGTTTTCAAATAATTTCACATTTTGATAGTATACAAACAAAATTTATCAATTAATCATTCCAGGAAATGCTCAAATATCAAATAGTGCATAATTTCGGTAATATTCAAGCATTATTCCTACTTTTCCTTGCTACCGATTCATATTTTTCATTATTCATTGAATACAATCCGAATCATCAATCACTTATCATTGTTACGATACTTTTATCACTACCTTATATTATTTCCATATTATTGATTGACATGCGATTCCTTCAGTTATTAACTACTACTAATACTTCTATTATTGTTTTTTAGTAAGTTCTGCTCTTTATTTTCTCTATTTTTTCTTTCTTTCATTTTCAAATTGATGTTAAAAAGTTATAATTTCAAATGATTATATACTAAGTAAACATCATTTTTCCATTTTTTTTTTTTTTGATTTTCTTTTTTTAATTCGAAACATCGAAATGGTTTCAAATTTCAGTCTATTTATTTAAAATAGAATCAAACTTTTTCTTTGTTTCAAAAATATAATTTTCATTTTCTGCATATTTCAGTTTGTTAATTCTCATATTAGTGCCATCGTTATCATTTCTGTTAGCGTTATGTTTCATGATAAGACAATGTCAAATGAAAACATTTCGGGTGCATAATCGATCATTAAAAATGGCATTGCTAATAATTAACTTCTTTCAACTAATCGAAAAATGGGGATTAGCTGTAGAACTTTTTGAAGCAAATTTTCACATTGTTATTGTTGTCGATAATAATAATGATAATTATTATTTACGAATCATTTTGAATAATTTGTATGAGGTAAAATTATAAAATATTTTATGCTAGTAAATTAATCTTCACAAAAATTTTAGCTAAAATTTTATTATTTGTCACAATTATTTTATTATATATATATATATGCATCATGAAATTAATAAATTCTTTTATAAATTCTTCTCTTCTTTTATAAAAATTTTTTCAAAAGTCAATATATTTTAAGTGTTGCAGTATTCCTATCCTGACTGTTAATATTTCTTCGTTATCATAATTAGATCGTGAAAAAGAAAAAAAAAACAGATGTGAAAATTCTGAAATATTTTAAATTAACAAAAATTTATGGAATTACAGATAGCACATGGATTAACCTTACTAATGCCTTTCCTATCAGCTTTAATTCTTATTTCACTTGTTAGAAGTTATCGAGAGCGAACTATTCAACATTTTCAACAACTTCTGCGGTGGATCTGTTGTAAGGAAGTGGAAGATAAAATTGATTATAATGTGGAAACAATGCATTCAATTATTGCTGGACAAATTCGCCAACGACAACTTTTTAATAATTATTCATCTAACATTGAAATATTTTAACAACTCTTTGTGTACTAATTATCATTCAAATTTTGCGCATGTAAGCTTTTTTTTTTTTCATTTAATAAATCTAAAGTTTATGATACTTTAATCACTACCATTTTTTTGGAGAAGTTATATTATTATTAATGTTAATGAATGCAATTATTGGTTTCGTATGCATATTCAGTAAATTTTTTCACAAGTATTTTTTGAAAAAAAGAAAATTTAATAATAGTGCTGATTATATGCTATAAAATAACATTTATTTATTGATAGTTTAATTGAGATGAATGAAAATTTTAATAGAAAAAATTTATTAATTCAACAATGATTATAATTTAATAATTAAGTTCTCTTATCTGTAAAAATTGTTTGGATGAATTTTAATGATGTCTCTTTTATTAATTAACATTTACATATCGTTTTATAGAAAAGTTAAGTTCAGTTAACATAAAATTAATATGCTAATAATATTCATGTGATATGAATTTCGCGTTTACGATATAGACGATGACGTCGCATAAATCTAATGTCATGAAATGCTCGATTACATATATCACAATGATATGGCCGTTCTACGCTATGCATTACTTTAATATGAAATTCAAGCTTTTCCGATAATTTATGATGATTTTCATGATGATCACGTTGACTAAGTGGTCGGCCATATATATTACACTGATACGGTCGTTCCGTAGTATGCAATGATCGATAATGACTTTCAAGAAGTTCCGATTTCGGGAATGATAAGCTGCATGAATTACACCGATGATATGACACATAAATAATATTATTAGTATCTTGTTTTTTAAACGTACGTAACGTGAGTGATTAATTACACTTGCCACAAATATTTGATTGTTTATTATCTGCAATTACCATATTCCTTTTGAGTTGCAAAAAATGTGAATGTTGATTGCACTTAGAATTGTTTGGCTCAGTCAGTTGATCAAAATCATTTTTTAGTCCAAATATGCTGAAATTATAATGTTTATTACATTAATATGTAATTTCAAATTTTAATGTTTTAATTGATCATAAGGACAAAACATAGATTCGACTCATTTATTCTCTTTAGAATTAATAAAATTATTAATTATTACTTTTTATTGTTGAGAACTACCAAAAATGCATTCATTTAATTTTTTTTTCTTTGTTTTAATTGGTAAATTATTCGTAATTATTACATAACTTGCTGTAATTCGATCATTTGAAGAATTAAATAATACAAGAAGCCCATTGCGTTTTGAAATTGTTTCTTCTTGAATATCCTTTAAAAATTACTTAAATTTCAATTTTTTTTTCTCTAAACTAACGATTAATATATACCTAAGACAGTTATGATTTTTTTGTTCGAGGAGTGATTTAATTGCAAGCAATTACTCCTTTAAAAAAAGCACAATAAATTCTTTTATAATTAAAATAACCCTTATTACTCAACTAATTATTAATTAAAGTATCAATTTCTTAGATATTTTTGTTTTAATGGAAATATTTATGACTATTTGACTATATATATATATATATAAATAGGTTTGAGTTATCTTTTGGGAATACCTGTGACCATATGTTAGGTAACCGGGGTCAAAATGTTGTGAGAAAGCAACAGTGCTTCAGCTAATTAGATGAAACTAATAAAACTTATGAAAAATTCCTCAATAACTATTTAGATGAAACTAATAAAACTTATGAAAAATTTTTCAAAAAACAAAATTTTTAGGTAACAAACAATGAAGTGGTTTTTTGAGATCTTTTCATTTACAAAAAATGTTGACATAAAGATTAAGAGCCAAATATTTTTGGTTTTTCATCTATTCATTCGATATGCTCTAACCATTTGCGACATTTTCAGTTTTATATCATCCATAGTATGCCATAGCTATAACTTATGAATGCATAATTTATTGCTTCCTAAATTTCTGATTAAAAAACTATTTTCTGATAAATAAAAAATTTTTGATGAAATTTTAAAAATGTTATTTTGCCTTTCAAATTGATCACTTTATTGATTGATTTGAAATGAATTTTTTCCTTTTTTTTTGTTATTTGCATTATTATTACTTTTTGTATTGTAAATAATGCCTTTCTTCTTTTTACATGTTTTCGATTTTAAAATAAACATTGTTATGTTAATGTACAAAATGTTTTCAAAGCTATTTGTTAGCTCTATCATAAAGATTGCTCATGACACAAATTTTGATTTGTTATAAAATTTAACAAATTGATAACTGCTAGATTACATTATTCATTTCAACTATATTTGCAATACGTGCAACATATAAAATTTACTATCATTAATAAATTTCAATTTTTCTTTTTGATTTCATGCATATATATATATGTCACAATCATTCTATTATATTCAATTTCTAATTTTTTGCTTTAAATTTTATTAGGAAAAATTACACATTCTGTATTTTTTGCAAGACATTAAAAAATTTTATATCGAATTATTTCAAGCATTTCATTTATCTATTAAAAAAATGTTTTTTAGTTGGAAGAATGTATTAAAAATTTTCAAGTAGGAAAAAAGAGACCGAATAATCGATCGCTTATCATTTCTTTATTTGAAATTGAAATAAAATAATAGATTTGAACTATGCCACAACAATTGAAATGCTACGACATAATTCAAATCACTTCAATTATAGCAGAAGATATTAGTATGAAAACGCAAAAAAATTTTTTAAAAATTAGATTATAAACAAAGTTACACAGAAATGACAGGATATATTAATTAACTTTAAATGAATAAAATTTTTTTTCAGATATAAGTAACATGTAATAGCCATGAAGTAATCATTTTTTTTTTTCGTTTAATCTATTAAACTTTACATACTGCTAATCTTTGAATTTTTGGATAAAAATGAATTACTGAAATTGATGTAATGCAAATACCAATTATTAAATCAGTATGGTTAATTATTCAGATAAGTGATATACGGACGAGAAATAAGGCAATTAGTAAAATAAGCGTAAATTTTATATATGGCAAATCAGATATTGCTTTTTCCAACTTTTCATCAACTTTTCTTTGCTGTTCAATGATAAGAAATTTGATTGTTTCAAATTCCGCAGGAAATTTTTCTACTTGACCTTTGATTCTTTCAATTAACTCTCTACCACTACTGCTATCACTAAGTCCTCTTTTATCACCAACACTAATACCACTACCACCACCACTGGTACTACTGGCACCATCATCAATATTTTTCGTTATTGCTGCTTTTTTCTTTGGTTCGGAAGGTGATCGTTTTCTTGGTGAATGAATCTTTGCATGCAATTGTCTTAATTTATCATCATCTGTTTTCTTTTCTGAAACAAAAACAGAAAATAATACTTTAAAATGAGAATAACAGGAAGAGATGTAAAGAAATTTTTAAAAATGACAAGAAAAAAACATAGCCATTTTACAGTGTTAGCATTGATGATAGAAAAGGAAGAAAAAGGAAAAAATCAATTTATTTAGATGAAAAGGTAATGGAATTTTATGAAATACCTTCAGCATCAGTTTCATCAATATCTGTTAAATGGTCATCAAATTCAAACATTGGCTGTGGCATATCGTTCTTTGCACATAATGCTTCAATTTCACGTTCAATCTTTTCATCATCAATCACTGCCTACAATGCAAATAAATATGACAAAATATATTGAAATATTATCTCTGTGACACAATAATCATAAAATTTTGAAGAAAATAATGAAATTGAATAAAAATTGCATAGATTTTTATTATTTAAATTAAAAGAAAAATGAATGAAAAATTAGAGCTCGTATTTTGTTACTAACCAATTAATATATTCTATTAACGAGCAACTATTATTATTTATTTATTTATTTATTTATTTATTTATTTATTTATTTTTGTAATAATTAAAGTAAATATTTGCTGTGCTTATTAGATATGTTATTGATTTATTTCTTTATCAGTAAAGAAGAAATAAATATAGAAAGTTTAAAAAGGATTATATATTAATTAAGGATGCAATTTTGATAACATTTTTCTTTTCTTTTCTTTCATTTTTTGATTTTTAGTAAATATTAACAAGGAAATAAATTTACCGGTGAGCGGAATTTCTGTCCATGCTTAGTAACTGTTTGACCTTGTAAATGTAGTACAGTATCAGCTATTTTCTCATCTTTATACGCTATAAAATTGAAAATCTTTTTGAAATTATCAAATATATTTTCAAACTGATATAATAAATCATATAACTTGGGCGAGAATTTCAAATAATCAAATAAATTAGTAATGTAAAAATTGAATTTTCAGTTTATAATAGGGTTTGAAATTCAAAATTTTATTACTTCCGTAGCATATTGCTTATTGAATATGTTAAGTACTAAATTATCTGTAAAAGAAGAAAAACAAACCTCTAACTCGAATTTTGACTCGGCCAACTTCGGCACCCTCAACAAATGGCATCCGAGGATCGTAACCACTTGGTGCTGCGATATATTCAACCAATAAAAAAGTTTTTCCAGGTTTACCTGCCTGAAACATACAGGTATATAAGTATTTTACATTTAGGAGAGAGAGAAAAAGAAAGAAGAGAAAGAGGGAAAAAAATGAAAAGGTTATATCATTAAGTATATATTTCGAGATATAAGGCTTACACAAAAAAGTAATGAAACTTTTTAGTGAATAAATTTGTTTTAAAATAGCGAAAAATAGTATTTCCTTTTAGTAATAAAGAAAAGAAAAAGGGAAATAATTCGGAATCATTTAAAATTTAAAACTAAGAGTTCATTTCAGAATTATTCAAAATTTGTGGCTGTAAATTTAGAATCAATAATATTACAAAAGTTTTTTTTTTTCAAAATATGCAAATTTTCATATCATTATTTCATACCCGACGTTCAATAACAATTTGTTTTTTCTGTCCCGGTCGAAGGAAACCCATTGGTGGATTGACCTGCGTTAGTTTATTACTGATAATTAATATCCTACTTATTTTGTTAATAATTAGACTTTATTTTATTTTAATTAGATTTTAATGCTATTAGATTTTTTTATTAAAATTAATTTACTGTCGGTAATTAAATCTTACTTATTTTGCTATCAATTAGGTTTTATTCTATGCATTTTCTTTTTCCTTTTTTTTTTTTTGATTACTAATTGAAGTTTTTTTATGTTTATGTTTACTGAAAACAATCCGATAATTTTTTCTTCACAAACCAATACCGATCAGTAAAAAAGATAAAAATAAGCTTGCTAACATTTTTCAAATCTTTTTAAGTTAGTAATTAATCTTTTTTTTTTGTTTGTTTTAATTTACTCGATATAATTCGAAATATTTCTTCTTCAACCTAACTCTGAAGCATAAACGATCAGTACCAACACATTCCAATGTATGATTGGTAAATCCACCTGTGCATGGTACCTGAAATATAACATTATATTATATTTCTTCTATTAATCAAATTAATTCTACGGAATTAAAAAAGCCAAATGAATTGGAGAGAAAAATTAAGACGAGAGAGGAGAAAGGAAGAGGTGAGGAGATGATGACAAAGAAAAAAATTCTTTTCTGAAATAATATGAAAAAATAAATCATTTTCCATTGAATATAAAAAAAAACATAGTTGATATTTAATTGATATGATATGATAGTGATATGACAATTAAATTTGGTGATAAAAAAAGAACCAATATAAAAAATACGCCTGTATAAGTGCTGGTGAAACGATAATATATGACATGTCCCAGTAGAATGAAATTAATAAGAAGCAACCGTATACTATTACTAATTCTATTAAACTGCGAAGAAAGAATGATAAATTTTCAATTTAAAAAAAATAAAAAAAAAAAGGCATATTTCCCCATTATGATAATTAAATTACAATACAATGCATATAAATCAAATTATTTATTGACAACTTTTTCATTTCTATTTTTCTTTACTTCATTTCTGGCTCTTTTTTTTTTTTGCTTCATTTCCTCTTTTTTAATGCACAAATTAAAATTTAATTGAATTTCTTTCCTTTCATATTAACCAATTAGTGGTTAATTAATAACTGGTAGAAAAGAAAATTATTATTTATTAATTTATTATTAGTATCAGTGTTGAAGAGATTTCTTTTCTTTTTTGTTATTGATGACAGTTTCTGTTCCATAATTAACCCTTAGAATCTTTCACTTCCTTTACACTCTTCCTCTCTGTTTGCCACTCCCTCTCCCTCTCTCTTTCCATAACATTGGCACCCTATGTAGTGTATCCTTGGTGCACCATTGCAAGGGGACACAATAATGTGGTGCGCATAGACAGAAACAAATAACACCCCGAAGCTACCGACGCATATATGTATACACACACATATACGCACGTACATATGCATGCACGTAGATTTGGGTAGACGGACAGACATATCGGTGGTAGTGGTGATGGTGGGTCGCTGTGATAGCGTACACCATGGACTACCGGATAGGCAAGGGGTGTGCACCTATCCGTGCACACTCACACAGACGTACCAATCGATTGGTACCCTAATGATAGATGGGAGGTGGTTATGTGATGGTAGCTTAGGTTGATAGAGAACCGGTGGAAAGAATAGATAAGATGGCGGTAATAGTAGGGGTGAGTAGAGAGGCACCGCACATTATTACCAGATGGAAGAACCACAGCACAACAACACATCTGTTCATATTTCTCTTTTCAATACTACCAACCAACACTATTGCTACTTCTACTGCTATTACTATGACTACCGCTTACTGCGATTGTTAATTAATTAAATTTCAGTTTAAATTCCATTTCATACATAGTATATTTACAGACGAAATGGGGTTTTTTTATGTTTGAGTTAGTGGATAAAGAGACGAAGTGAAGATGAATAATAAAAATAAATAAATAATGATAGGATAATAGGAAAAATTAGTTAATTAATTAGTTATGGTATTAATATTTCAAATACTTCTGGAATATTTGAGATATTTTGAAAAGTAATATCAGTTAAGCAATCAATCAATCAGATGTGATATTTGTAATGTATGTTTATACTTTTTTTTCTACTCTTTAACTTCATCAGTAACTAATTTTGCTATTTTTTTTTCGAACATTTCATATCATTCGACGGGTATTATGTCATTTTTCCGAACAAAACTTGATGAAATCTATAATTTGTTCATAAAAAAAAAAAAAAAAAATACGAAATGAATAAAAGAAAAGTTTGCAGATGGAATATGTCCGTACAAAATAAATGCAAACAGTATCTATCCGCCGAATGATACGTCAAAATGTTATCTTTTTAATCGATCCACTATAGCGGAGCTACGTAATTTAAAAAAAAAAAAAAACTGCCGAAAAGAAGAAGAAAAAAGAAAGATATTGCAGGGTAAATTTTGTTAATGGCCGAGGGTGAAGAGTTATTTTTAATTGATAACAGCCTAGATATGTCTCTTGTGGATGAAGAAAGCAGTGATTTCTCAGGTTACTTCTATGCTTACTTAATTATATTTTGTGATTAAAATTCTTGAAATTTCAATATATTTCATCAGTTTACTAATATTTGAATAATTCATTTATTATTCACTCTGATATATTTTTAATATAATACTATGATAACTAATACTTGTTACTTTTTTTTTATCCCGAATTTTATCTTTAAGAAAAAGTTAAATTTATTCATTCTTTTCACAAAATTAAAATAAATGCTTAATGAAATCAACGATTTTTTTATTGTGATAAACATATGATTGATATCTCTTTTCCTAGCCTTATCATTTTTCATCTTTAGAAGACAAAAAGGTGTTGTATATTTTGTATTTCTTATTTATACACATTTTTTTGAAATGATGCTTGAAATTTTAGATGTTTTGTTAAAATCGAAAACACCGTCCCAAAAAGTAACAGTGACACGGCAACGTCGCATTAATCGTGTGTTTTGTTTTTCTTACCATAGTTTAGTTTTCTTCATTTGTATAAATCTACATCAGTAAAACTGAATTACTGAATATGTCATTTATGAATTAATTCAGTTCAATTTTTATACTCTATATTATCAGCCTGAATGAATTATGAAAAGGAAAGAGAATGAAACATTTTGTATAATGGATTAATAAACTTTTTAATACGCAGTTTTTTTGTCATTATTGGCTCGATATATGGGAATGATGTGAGGAAATTATCATAAATAATTCTAGATTATAATGTAAAATTATACTATCATTAATATACGAATTTTGATAATAACTAATTTTATTGCTGAAAGGAACATTTATGTATGATATCTATCTGTAAGATAAAATTTTATTTTAATAGCCATTTCATTTGAATTATTCCTATTTTCAGTCATTAAAATTGCGTGTTTTTCAGCTGCAATAAGTAAAGTATTTGGTGAAGTCTACAATTCACGAGGGAAACTGAATGATATGTATCGTCGGAAAGCTGTTAATTCGTTACACATTACGGAATCAGTACCGGAACATATCACACAACTTGATTTCATATCGTTAATTCCCAGCGAACTTCGAACTGATCAACGAATTGTCATCGATTTGGTCAAACGTTTATCGGAAGCAGCTCGACATCGACAGCGAATTGCTCGGGCTAATTTCATATATCGTAATGAAGCGCAACGTTTGTCAGAAATTTTTCGGTTAGTTGTAAATCTTTCAAGTTTCTTTTTTTTAATAAAATGAACTTGAAGTGTTTGGTTTTTTCGTTTGATTGATTCATTTCTTTTTTTTTTTTTTTGTTCAATTTTTTTTTCTCGGATTTGAGGCCAGATTTCGTACTGGGAAACAACTGCATGTTGAAAATGTCGTTTAATTGAACAGTTTAGATTTAGAGTAAAAGAAGTAACGCTTGAAAATAGAACTACTTTTACTAGAATTTTTTTTTTTACTAAGCTAGTAATAATAGGTTTTTTTTTGGTTAGTTGGAATTATGTTTTCCAATTTTGTTATAAGTTATATATAAATAAAACAATTCCAGAGGAATGATGTTATTTTGCAACTTTGACTGATTGTTTACATTGCAGTGAATGTGCTCATCGTGAGGAGCAATGCATTCGACTTGCAAAGTTAATAAGTGATGTACGTAGCGAGCGTCAATGGAAAGGTAGTATGCCAAGTGTGGAATGGTTTTTACGACGTAAGAAAGGTGTTGTTTCATCAAAGGCTCAAAAAATGGGTTAATTTATTAATTTAGTCTTCTACCTTTTTACTTTTGTTCCTTTTTATTAAATAAAAATGTCTGCTGAGAGTTTTGCTAGCATTTACTTAAAGGAATAGCTAAATTGAAATCTTTGAAATGCTGAAATATAATCTTACGGTAAATTGATCTGGAATAGTTCAGTTAGTTATAGGTTTGTCTAGCTTAGATATGATGGATTAAGTGATTTTGTTAACATGTTGAAACATATAATTTGGAACTTTCTTCGCTTTACTTGTATTCTAAACGCATTTATTTATAAATATATATTTCCATTCTTTTGTAAGGCATTGTCTGATTGCAGCTCTTTTTTATTCAAAATATCTCAAAATAGAATTTTATGAACAAGATGTTTTGATTTTCATGCATACTTATTTACGATTCCGAAAATAAATGATTAAAGCTTAGTTTACTGCTGTGGAATGAGTAGTCGTAGCAAGTCGATAAATTATGAATAGTTGAGGAGAAAACAATTTCTTCATCATTTCTTATCCTGTATTTATATTTTCCAAGAACACACGCTGAGATTCAATTTAAGATTCTGTTAATTAAAAGTGCAACAAATTTGAAATATCATAATGAAAGTTCCTTCTGATAAATTAGTAAAAAGTGAGGTGAATATACTTAAATATACATTAGGTCATCCATTGACAACTTATGTTACACTCTCGTTTAGATCAACAAGCAGCTGGTCCGGCAGCACCGAATAAACTTAAACGTTTGTTGGAAATTTCCAAAACTTCAAATGGTAGTGAGGAACGATTGAAAGTACCAAAGAGTGTTAGTTTTTTAATTCATTTCTTTCTATTCTTTTTTTTCCTTTTAATGCTTTAACGTTTGACGTATATGTATTTCCAAGTAATTTGATTTCTTTTTTCAATTCAGGAATTTGAATCACCTGATGAATCTGGTAGCTATACAGATTATTTGAAACAAGTTTTCCTGAATCCAGCTGCAAATCTTCCTCATAATGAGAAGCAAAATTTGGAAATGAAAATTGAGCCGGAAACACCAATAGGGACACTTACGGCAATGGGAAGTCCAAATGGTGTTAGCACTACAATTATTAGCACTGAGGAATTGCATTTTCCAAGCAGTTCCAATTTAGAATCAGGTAAGTTTTTGCAAACTTCTATTTCTCAGTATAATTTTAGAATTATATGAATTATAATAAGAAAAAAAAAAAACTTTTGATGAATACTATGTCATTATCTGTTCTTCTTTTTTCAGTAGTTTAGCTTTCCTTTTATACCTGTTATCTCAGGCTTGATTTTTTGACAGTCAAGATTGTTTGAGATTTACAAGTAGCTTGCTGACTCTTATTCTTATCTACACTGATTAACTTTTTATCCTACAGAACAAGATTGGAGTATGGATTGTTTGATAATTTAATTTTTCATTTTATATATGATCAAAAAGAAAACATTTAATTGACTGTTGAATATCTAAGTCTAAGTTTTTTTTTTTTTTTTTTACCTTTTCGATATATTTTGATATATGCTATTTCATACTTGTATTCTTTACTTTTTGAGAAGGCTCCTTGAAAGCATCGTTCGTAGCATTGAGCCAATATTCTTTACTTTTTGAATATTTGAAATATTAACACTCATATCCTGTATGAATGAACTAAATTCAGGAATACTGGATTGCTTTCTTTGTGAAGAAATTTAGTAAATATATCATAGGCTTATTGGCAAACACGGTTACATCACAAACGTTGCCGAATTCATTGGATCGAAGTGTTGCAATTGAGAAATTAGAAACGTATTTCAGTCGTAGTACTCCGGATCAAATACGGCAATATATGTTACGATTACGGCAAGCAGCTAATCGACGTCTTGCAGAGCAAGCGGTTGATTTAATTTCAACATTGAGTAGTGAGGAATGTGCACAATTTTTAAGTGATATTGATAGCGATGGTACTGCCGGTTTTAACTGATTCTTGCTAATGTATTTGAAGTCTATTGATTTCGCTTAAGATTCTTTACTTTGTGCGTAGAATTTGGAATTTCGGATGTGATAGCATATGTGGATTTTAGCATGCATTTATTGTTTCAAAATTACTTTGCTCCAGTATGGTATAAGTTACCTAACAAAGGAATTTTGTGCTTTGAAAAATTGGTTACTAATTTCTGTGAAATTATTTTTCTTTAAAATTCCTGTGTTTTATTCCTGTGAAACGTGATACTGCAGAATTGCTTTTCGTCAAATTCATCTATTGTACATGCCAAATGTAATTTACTTGTAATTGATTATTATATTCCGTCAGTGCATCCTCTGAAATTAATGTACATATAAATCCTACGTGCGATAAATTTGTGAATATAAGTTGTCAAGGAGCCGTGATAAAATATTGCATTTTATGAAACTATCTAACATTCAATTGTTTTGACATCTTTATAAAATGTCAAAAAGTTGAATGTTGAATTGTAACAAGCAATTTTTATTCCTCTGAAACTTGACTGGATTATTTTTCTTATAAAAAATATAAAAGATTTTAGGAAAAAAACTTTCGAGTTTAAACTTTAAACACTTTAACCAAAACTGGAGTTTTAATATGATGAAATTTATTATCCCTAAAATCCTTCATTAAAAAAAGTGATGTTTTGTTTTTTTTTTCCTCATTTGCTGTAGGCTTTTCATGGCTTTTCTTTTCCATCCGAATAATATGATTAAATTTATGCAAATTCTATTTGCTTCTCATTTCATCGCTTTTTTCAATGAAATTTGATAGAGTGATTGAAATCTGTGCAAAACTATATGTTTGACATCTTCTGCAGGCTTTTTTTTTATTAAGCATTCTGGAAGCAAACTGTCGTAATTTAATTTTTCCTGGTGAACACTGGTTGGAAGCACGTTAACTATACATTTAGCAGATTTGATGAGTTTATAGAATTGGTAACCCATAAAATATCAGGTAAATTGTAAATTGATCCTCAGTGATTTAAATATTAGCATTTTTATGCTTTTAATTATTTTATGTTTGCAAGAAAAAAGTAGAAGCAATATGTGCTTTTTGTATATAAATTTCTTTTTCCTTTTTTTATTATTCCTTTCCTTGCATATATATTTTCTTCATTTATTTTCTCTCAGTATGAGTGATCTAATCGATTTATTTAATTTAAATCATTTATTCATTCCTTTTCATTTTATATATGAAGAATGAATAGTTTACTACGTTTAGAATTCATCTTAACATTATTTCTTCATGAGGAACCTAATTACTACTAAATTTTCAATTGCTATTCCATGACGAATTATTTTAAAGGAATATTCATTGTAATTTTAAAAAAAAAAGTTCATTGATCATTTTTTGACTTTATGTTTGATTTAAAGTTTTAGTTTGATTTTGTTTGATTTGACTTAAAGTGATCTTTATTAAGCAAGATATTTGTTTTTCTATCTTTTTGTAATCATAATGAATATTAGGAAATGCTTTTACCTATCATATCCCAACAATCCTTTTTTTTTGAAATTAATCATAAAAAATTAGTTATATAGTATGAAAAAAAGTGATTTTAATATCACTAAACAAATTAAAAAAATATAACAATTCACATTCGATATTGAATATCAATTCCAATAATTGAATGAATAATACAATAACTTATAATTAGAAATCAGTTTAAAATCATATATGCTAATGCACAGTTATTCTTTTTTGTTTTCAAAGTAAAAATAAAATGAAGCAAACAAATTTCATTCATTTATTTCTAAACATTTTTACCAAATAAGCGAATGTTAATTTATCGTTTCAACGATAGTATTTTTCAACTTAGCTAACGATTTTTTTTTTTCTTTAATCTCTCTTTTTTTCTCTCTTAAATGTAAAAAAAAGGAAAAAAAGGCCTATTACTTCTTTTTATCAGTGATGATAGTAGTAGGCAGGAGGAATGGTAGAATGAAATTACTTTTACTCATAAAAATAATTTAAAAAATACATGATAGTTGGTTTTTTGCTTTTTATCTTTCTTCTAATCCTTTTTCTTTTTATTCCTCTTTTTAGATCTATTTCAAAAGACAAAATTGTTTTTATATTTTCCTTCTCATTTTATTTTTGACAAATAATAATAGTACTTTATTCCTGTGGATTTATAAATTTTTTTTTCACTTTTCAACCCGAAATTTGAGATTCCCTAATTAAACTTGCAATATTCCAGGATGAATATTAGACCGATAGCAATGATATATATGAAGTATGCTGTTTCTTTCTTTCTTCATTTTCAATTACTGCTGCTACTTTATTGCTTCATTCATCTTTTTTTTTAATTTTTTTCTTTTTTTTTGTTCAGGATCGTCTCACAAAATGAGAAACCGAAACTTCTACTCCCATTTAGAAGTTTTAAATTTTCTTTATCTAAAATGCCATTCGTATTTATTTGTGTTTTTCTTCTTTTTTTATAATCCATTTGGTTTGGATGATTTTTGAATTTTTAAATTATGTTTGTGTCATAAAAATCCCATTACTTAGAAAATTTATTGAAATTTTCGTTTAATCTAAAAAAAATTTTAATTTTTCTGAAAACTTTTTTTTGCTAATCATATATGATAAATAAAAGTAAGGATAATGCCAATTTCGATATCTTAAAATATTGTTTTGTTATTGTAAATGCTATTATCATTATTTGATTGATTAAGACCAAATTTATGGCATCCATTAATATTAGTAGAAAAACAACAAAAAACAAAAAACAAAGCAAAATTGCTAGCTAATAAATCATAATCTTTCAATGCCTAATTAACTGTTTAATTAATTATCATGTTCTTTTAGCAGTCTATATTTTTATCAGATGACATCAGTTAACAGACGACATATTATAAATGTTTCAGACTTTAAATATATACATTCATAAAAAATTTTAAAAAAGTTTATCCTTTATTTGAATTATTTTCATTCCTTTTAATACATCTAATTGTATTATCAATAATCGCAATTATCAATATGAAATTTAACAACCAAATAATATTTGTGCTGTGAAATAATTGTTAGCGCTACGAATCTAATTAACTATTATAGCTATGATTCCACTTATAATTCAACTAAGTTTCAAATATTCAACCACCGAAACTAATAAGCTTTGAAGTCATTTTTTTCTATTTATTCGAAATGCATCAGAATTTGTTAATTAGAAATTTAAAAATTCTGACTGGAATAGATTATCTTTTTTAAATGAATTATCTTTTTCTATTTGTATATATTCACATTTTGCATTGGAGATTTCATTTTTGTAAAATAATATTTATATAATTTGATAAATTCTAGTCTAAAATTCTAAATAACAATGCATCAACAATTTGAAATATGTTATATATCACAACGAAATGTGGCAATACTGGAAATTATGGCTTTAATACTTTTTACTTATTGTTATTTCTTATTCATCCATCATAAAATTCAACTTTTAAAGTTACATCTTGTTTCATTTTTTCGGCTTTTTTTATTTTATAAAAATTTTAATATATATGAAAGAATGTTGAAAATAAATAAACAAATTGCGTTGACTAACTCAAAAATTAAAGAAATTCATTCAATAACAATGAGCAAATGGTCGTTTTCAATGGATGTCTCATCCTACTGTAAAAAAATTTTAATTACTCATTAAAGAAATTATTTAATCAGTAGAATTAATTAATTATTTTATTAATGCTGTTTTATAATTCAATGAGTTTACTACGCTTATCAAAGATGCAAAAAAAAAAAAGAAAAAAAGATGGATGTGTATTTGTTGCAATTATAATTGAATTTTTAGTGCATGATATAATCACAGCGATTTTGATGAATTATTCGAAATTTATTTTATATTTTTGGCAAAATATATTTGATTTCCTGTGTGTGCCGAAAATAATTTAAAAGTTGCAACAAAATATAATTTCAAAGTTAGAATGACACGATAAACACTGTGAAGAGATATTATGCATAATTTATTTATTACTTAAGATTTTTTATTTAAGACCGTTCATGACTTCATAATCCTAAATCCAATTACCAACTCCTCAGATGAATGTCAATCAACCACTCATTCATTCATTCGTTCATTCCTATCTACTTTTTTATTTTTTCTTATCACTTCCTTATTTCTTTACCCTATGCAATTTTCATTACATTTTTTGTTATGTACACACTGCATAAAATTTTTTAAAATTAAATTCTTAATTCCATTTATTATTTTTAATGAGCAAATTCTTTAATTACCAACGAATCATATACATATGCTGCAGTAAATGTATATTTACATTAGAAGTATATATGGATGACTGGATAAGTGATTGAATATCAGATTTAGTTAAATACCGGCAGATGCATTTATATGAAATTATTGAATAAATTTAGGGAATTCCGAGAGATTTCAAGTTTCAAAGATTTTCTATATGCTTCTTGTTGCTAAATATATGACATTTTTCTAAAAACGATTGAAATTGCATCCTTTTAACTTACTTATTTGCATCATTTAATTTAATAAAATATTTGATAAATTTTGAAATTCGTAATGATTTCTTATATCATTCGTTGACGCCATTCATATAGCACCAATAGAGCAAAGTAAAATCAATTCTAGCAAACTAATTTTGGTTTGCGCAATTGTTAGTTAACCGTTTCTCTGAAATAGAAAAAGTTTGAAATTCCGGAATTGACAAAACATCATTTCCTTATTCTCTCTCCAAAAATAGAAAAATCTTTATGTTGCGGCTTTTTTTGTAATGATAATTTACCATCCATGAAATTTTGAACAAAACTTCGCTTTTCGTTTTTCCTTTTGATTTTGTCTTTTTAAAGTTTTAAGAGATTTTACGAATGTGTAAGTTTAATAAAAAATAAACTTCAAAATAAAAAAGGGAAAAAAAAAGCTAGAATGCTTTTCATTTTATCAAAAATATCACTTTAAAGTTATTCAGTATAATTTTTTAAATTCAAATTCCGTAGTACAGACACAACCGAAT